AGAAAGAAAGAAAGAAAGAAAGAAAGAAAGAAAGAAAGAAAGAAAGAAAGAAAGAAAGAAAGAAAGAAAGAGAAAGAAAGAAAGAAAGAAAGAAAGAAAGAAAGAAAGAAAGAAAGCAGTGACAGGGAAATTTAGTTTGCAGACTAGAATCTCCATATTGCATTCCAGGAAGTGCTGGCCTTCATCAAATTGTGTAGCTTTAAATCTGTTTTGACAAAAGCTAGAGCTGACTGGAATGTTCAGAAACCTCATTATGTGGCTGCTAATGTCTAGAACAAAGATATTGCCTTTGAGCATTAAGCAGGCAACTGTTACTGAACTTCAGGGAAATTTAGTTTGCAGACTAGAATCTCCATATTGCATTCCAGGAAGTGCTGGCCTTCATCAAATTGTGTAGCTTTAAATCTGTTTTGACAAAAGCTAGAGCTGACTGGAATGTTCAGAAACCTCATTATGTGGCTGCTAATGTCTAGAACAAAGATATTGCCTTTGAGCATTAAGCAGGCAACTGTTACTGAACTTGATAGCTGAGTGAGAGAACTGCAGAATGTGGTACTAATACTATGATGTGCCTTTCCTAACTCAATCCATTGAAGTATTGTGGCATGGGTTTTGAAAGAGGAGTCATCCAGGGAGGAGAGGGTTAACCTTCTCTCTTGAACTAACCTCAGAAATTTGAGTATCCCTCCAAATATTCCCTCCCAAACAGGATAACTATTAATTAATTAAATTAATTGCTGTCAAGTATATTCTGACTTCTGACTACCCTTCCCACTGTTTTCTATACAGGGAATACTCAGAAAGTGTACTTCTGGGAGTGCTCTGGAAGGGTGTAGTTTGCCCAAGGCCACACAGACTGCATCTTGGGTTTACCATTACCTTCTTCTAGGAGTGCCCTGGGACTGTGCAGCTTAACCAAGGTCACACAGGCTGGCACTCCTGGGATGCACCATGTAGAATATAACTCCTAACTTACGGTTCTGTAGCCAGATACCTAACTCACTGGGCTATCTATTGCAATACTAACAGACTTTGAAAGAATTGGCTAAATTGTAAGCCACATTTTTTACAGGGTGCTGCTATGAACCAAAACACCACCAAGACAAATTAAAGCTTATTCCAAGAGTCTTTGCACTGTGAGTGGTCCCCAGATCATTAAGTAGGTGTCTTGGCTTAAGTGTACCCATGTGGTGACACAGGTTTCCATTTAACAGCATGCAATAAGAATTTCCCTTTCTCTCTTTTGACTTACATTCCCCATATTTGATCCGGAGGGCCTTCAGAGTATGCAGAATTTAGGATTGATTCCATCAAGGGAGTTGCATCATCAGTGCATCCCTTCCACTGCTAGAAGGACCCTACTGGATACAACCCCAAGTTTGTGGTGTGTACTGCTATGGTCAGTATGGTCCTTCTAACTCAGTGTTTCTCAATCTGGGGTTTGTGACCCCCACAAAGTGTTTTGTTGGAGGGTTGCCAGTCACCTTATATGTGTTACAGCCCTTGTTCAGTAATTTCTTCCTTGGCTTTTCAGAGTGGGATATGAAAGTTAGCATGTATGTGTATATATTAAGAGCGGGCCCTTGGGGGGAGAAAGAAGCCTCCGCTTTCTGAGAAGGGATGACTTCACCCTATTAAAATGCCTTTTTATGCAAATGTGGCAGAGAGATAGCAGGTTACTTAGCTATTATAAAAAGCATGGTGCCTTTTTATGCAAATGTGGCAGAATGATCGCAGGTTACTTAGCTATTATAAAAAGCATGTCATAGCTCAAAAAAGGTTGGGAACCACTGTTCTAACTACTTATGTTCAGAATAAAAAAGTTAGAGATGATGTAGAATTTTAGTGTAGCTTCTGATCCACATAAGTGAATGCCATTATACTCTATAAAACTGCTCCCAAGTAATGGTGGAAATTTACACTTTTCCTCAAGCATGCTGTTTTTTGAACACTCATCAGGAGGGTGCTTATTTTAAATCACTCTATGTTGTGCTGGTTTTTTAAACCTGTTTTTGCTTGCTTGAATGGCCATGTTGTTGTATTCTGTGTTCAGGGATGTTCCCTATGCTGATGTCTTGGTGGTTTGAGGTGGTTCGGGATGCTATCCCATCAAGAAATCAGCAATTATACCTGCTGTCTGAACTATTCCCCCCACCTTTTTTAAAATACTGTTTTATTTTAGCTCTTGTATCATACAGGTGGAGTTTTTCTGTCTGTCACATTGATGCAGCACTATGCCACTTAGAATACAAAAGAAAAATTAACTTTGGACAAGACAGTTATAGGTGGTTCGGGATGCTATCCCATCAAGAAATCAGTAATTATACTGCTGTCTGAACTATTCCCCCCACCTTTTTTAAAATACTGTTTTATTTTAGCTCTTGTATCATACAGGTGGAGTTTTTCTGTCTGTCACATTGATGCAGCACTATGCCACTTAGAATACAAAAGAAAAATTAACTTTGGACAAGACAGTTATGGACAAGAACAGAATAGAAGTGGAGACTCGTGGGTGGATCAAAGTGCCAATGGGTCTATATAAGGCCATTTAAAGATTGGTTGATAATTCTCAAGTAGGGAGTGTCACAAGAACACAAAAGGCACATCAAGCCTAATTAGAGTTTATATTAGTGGTTGAGTCCCCTGCACCAAATCAACCTGGTTTAATTGAAGCTGCCCCATGAAAATGGGGACAGAGACACAAGAACATGTGACATGAATCAATGCATTAATACTGCAACATAACTTACATATACTGTATGAAATAGCTTTTTGTCAGAATGCAGAAACTGTGGGCTACTACCATGGGATAATTCTCAAGTAAGGAGTGCCACAAGAACACAAAATGCACATCAAGCCTAATTAGAGTTTATATTAGAGGCAAGTCAAGATGAAATTAATCGGCTCCTAAATTTGTTTATTTTTTCAAAAACCTCCCTCCCGAAGTCTTTATTTAGAAATCATTAGAAATCATTTTTTTTAGAAATCATTAGTAATCATTAGTAATTGTTCCCTAATCACTATTGAACGTATTTGACAGGCAGTGGTGATGGACTGGATCCAGACTAAAGGCATAATCCTGAGGCTGTGCTGAATCCAACCCTTCTTAGTCTACAGATGTTGGAAAAGGACTAACCTGGCCCAGCTCTGATTTTGTTGCCAGTACAGAAGCTGTGAGTTTGGGCTGAAAAAAGCTTGGATCTGACATAACTCAGCCCCTCTCCTGTTCCTCCCCCTCTTAGCTGGCCTCATCCAACACAGCCATTGCTCCTGGAGATCCAGTCCTGCTAACAGATCTAAGATCATAGCACAGAAGAAGGTTGTGCTGGCCCAAGGTCAGCTGGTCAGCACAAGAGGCTTCTGCCCATTCCAAACCCACTACAGATGGCATATCTTTGAATTTGGATTGCATTGCCAGTACCTTAAGAGCAGGGCATTGAAATCAACAAGTAAGTAACAAACAAGTTCTGTACCACTAATTTCAGTTGGTTTACTCTAAACATGACCTAATTTGAATCAAATTTCTAACCCAATATGAAACCTGCATTTCCTGTACTGGCAATTTATTCCACTTGTGTATGAACATCCTGTTCTATTTGGAAAGCTTTCCTCTCCTATCAGGTAAATGGGAAGTCACTGTATACTGGATACCTACAAACCATCAAGACATTGCAGAGCTTTTCTTTAAGGGTTTATTTGTCTTCAGATACTTCTTCCAACTATGGGAGATGTTACACTTCTCTCCTAAGCTTCAAAGATGCCCAGTACTGAATGTGGTATTACTTCTTTCAATACCTAATTGCAGATAATTAGATAAAAGCAATGGTATAGGTCAATTAATAATAGCTAGCTCATGAATAGAGATGGGGTTACCTTCAGTGTTTCAGGATGAGGCCCCCTGCTCAGTCTACAAGCCATCCTTTACAATAAATAAATAAATAAATGCTTTCCTCATTTGATAGCAATGCCTATCACCTTAGAATTGTTATTTCTAAAGCTCCTCTCCCAAAACATTGTTACCATGCAATTCTACATACTCTGTGGGAATTTTTTTTCACATTTACCATTCTGAAAGAGTACATGAAAATAACACTGAAATTTAAAGGGATTTGGAAACAGGCATCTCAAAACTACAATTCAAATATACCTCTGTTTCTCAAAACACCATCAAACTGAGGAAGGGTTCTGCATCTGAATTCAACAATTTTGGAGAAAGAAAAAAATATAGTCATACATGTTAATGATTCCTTAACAAATTTTATTATAATCAGGAACAAGTCAAGAATTTTTCATCTTGAAGTAGGACAAATTATCTGTAATACTATATACAGTGTACTGTGCCATATACCGTATATTGTGTGTCCATGTCTGGTTATATCCCCCTGGGTATATCCATTTCACTTAGAATATAAACCTCTAAGTGTACACCCAATGTGGTGTAGTGATCAGAGTGGCTAGGCCTGGGTTCAAATCCTCGTTCAGCCATGGAAACTCAGTGGGGTTATGGAACTGGTAAAATTACTCCTTAAATATCTCACCTTGAAAAGTTAGGGTTGGTTCTGACTTGATGGCACATTACAACAACAACAATAAACCTATAACTCAGAATGAACCCATTCTATGTAAGGGATTCTTCTATGTTAATCTTGCATTGTTCCAATCTGCTGGGCCCTTTCATAAAACACAAAGCAAACATGTTCCACCCCCTGTCTAGAGAAAAAGGGGGGCTGATGCGTGAAGATAAGATCACAGACTGGAAAAGACACATAGTGATTGTTTTCTATAAATGTAGTAAATTCATCCCTTTCTCCTCCTATGTGGGCATAAGAGGCTGAGAGAAAGGTGAGCTAGATAGTGCTCCTGAGATTCTTACACAGATACTGTATTTGGTTCATCATGGAAACCAACTCATCCCCATGGACACCCCTTGTGACACGCCTCTTTTCTTGGATCATCTTCATCCATACCGTAGATTCCTGTGGTACTCGAGTCTAAATTAAATATCCATTAGAGATTGTCTGGATGAAGCCAGTATGTATGATCCTAAAAATAAGACCTCTCACTTAGAATTTCCTGATTTCGTTTAGGAAACGAACGTGCGTGAGAGGTTTATGGGCTTCTAGACAAAACAATATAGGGCATGATTAGCTGTTCACTTTTTCCAAAATACCCGTCGGCATTTGATCGTTTGATTATTAGAGTTCTAGGAATACAGCAAAACATCTGCTCTTACTTGCATGTCTCTTGCCCTTTTGCATGTGTGTGTGGTCTGATAAGTAATAGACATCTATCTAAGTGTGGTATTACAGGCTTGCTCTCCATACTGAGGTTTTTTCGCAGAGTCTGCCTACAAATATCAGAATAAAGAACAAATTGTGAACATATGGAAAAGCTAGCATGACACATAAGCCAATGCTAGGAATACTGGGGGGAGAAAATGCATGTACAGTACAATTGCTTTTCTTTTGCTGATAGCAAAATAGATGCTCATTGACTAGATCCCTAGAGAGAGTTATGTGCAAGTCTTTAAGACCACCTATGTCTTGTAGCCTCATTATAATCTGTCTAGTCAGTTGATATTGCCATATACCATGTGGTCCACATCTGAGTGGTGATGGAACATGGACCAATATTGCCAACGAAATGTTGAGCAGCTTTGAAATTTTCTCTCCTCAGAGAACTGACACCCTAAATCCAATTGCTTGGTAGAAATAAAGGACCTAAACAATAGTTTTCTCCCACATGAACCTTTCATGTTCTCTTAGCATCATCTGCTAAAGCCCTTCTCCATCTAGGCAGATAATAACAAGAGGAATTGATGATAATGCAAGATAGTATGACTGTCCCTCCCAGTAAACTACATTTAGATACATACTTTATCATTGTTGCTGTTTTGAATGGCTATCATACTCTGATATGAGGACTTCGTATGTTGAATCTGAGGTCAGTAAAAGATATATGTTTCCAAATAAAATGTTATTTATATCAGCCAAGAGTTACTACTATTACTATTTTGTAGCATAAAGGTGATCTAAATTCGCCAGCTCAGCTCTGGGCAAGAGAAAGTTGCACATTTTAATTGGACAATTTGTTTATTAAAGCATTCTAATTAAATAATAGTTTCCATTTATTGGTCCCAGTTTAGATGAGTTTTTAGTTATTTCCTTTTCCTTTTATTTTTGTTCTGTAAGCAAAAGGCTCAGCCAGCTGGTAAGGAATAAACGGAACTAAACTATTGCCAATTCTATGACCTTATGTTTGGTTGCCTTTGCTCTAGTCCATATCTCTTTGATAGAACTTTCTTCTCTATATCCTTTTTCTTTTCTGGCTTTACTCCATGTGCATATCTCGATATCTTTTTTGGCTTTCTTTTTTTCTTCCCCAAACAAAAAACCTCCCGGCTGCAGCAAAACAACAGTCCTGTAATTGCTTATAAACCAACTCTAATATGGAATAAGCTTTTGTGACCCAGAGTCCACTTCATCAGATTTGTATGTGTCCTGTGCGGCAAGTCTGGACAGTCTTTTCTTTTTATTAGTGCAGTGAGGGCAACTTGTGAACACCTAAAATGGCATATAAACTAGGTTTTGTCAAGTACAAACTCCCAACCTATGCTTGCATTGTCTCCCCTTTTAAAACATAATCAACATATGGGATTTGATTGGGATTTTTTTTTCTATAACCAAAATAACTAATTGCAGAAAAGTATGCATTTCAAGCATGCATGAGAAGAGCAAGATTTTTTTTTAATTGCAGGCTTTTTTTTTCATTTCCTGTGAATCAGAATGGCATTCAAAAAAACTGAAGTTGCTGTCAGAACATTCCTGTCATATTACGCAATTATCTTTTCAAAATTGTCTTAAAATAAGTAGTCACATCTCTGTTCTGATAGCAATTCTGTGTTGGGGAAGATGGTTATGGGATTTTTTTCAATCACCCAAAGTGGGTTTCTCAACAAAAGTAAGCAGAACAAAGCAAAAACTGATATGGATTTCTTATATTGCTAACTGCCTGTTCTGCTTGCCCACTTAAATGTAAATTCACTTTGGTCCCAACTAGAGTAGGCCTATTAAACAATATGAGCAGTTCTCTGATTCAAGAGGTCTGTGCTAATTTAGGCTACTCTTGGATTCGGGTCTGTATGTCAAGAATGAAGCCAGTTTATGAAGTGGCCTTCTGCCCTCCAGATGCCTTCAGTTTATTGTTGTAGACAGTTCTACATTAGGGACTAACCAGATCTCATAGGTAGGTTAGGAATCCCAGTATTTTTGAAGCAAAGGAGCTGGAAACCTTCCCCACGATTCTCATTTTTTTCCTCATCAATTGCATGGTATCACCTCTCCAGTGTTTTCCCCTGGATCCTAGTGACTATTATGATACCAGGTGGCACCTTTAGACATGAAATTCATCAATGTATTATTTATTGGGGGAGAAATCAAAACCTTTAAGAACAGTGTGCTCCTAAAACAGAAAGGAAATGAGTTTATTTCAGCAGTGTAGATGCTAAAAGTGGTTTAAATCACCAGAAATAAATCCATTTCCACTCTGTGCATGTGAACGTGGCCACCGTTTAAATACAGTACCATATGACTTGAACCTGATTTTTAAAAAGTCTGAACAGAAATCAGTTCAAATTTCGATTCTGATCACAGCTTTAAAAGTCACAGATGAGAAATTTTGTGAATTCTGACATGACATTTGTTATCCCATTGCTGCTTTTACCTCATGTGCTGATATGTACTGGATGCAGCTTCTGTTTCTCTTTTTAAAAATATAGCTAGATGAAAGATGGATTATGGGATTTCCATATTTCTGGTATGTATGGTAACATCTGAAGGTTAAACTAAGTGACACATTTAATAATATTTAGAAAAGGTGATCTCTCAAATGCTAAAAGACATCTGCTTGTCATAGCAAGTGACTGTGATTAAATGCATGTCTTGCATTTAGTATACTAAATATGATTTGTCACTGGAAGATAAACAGGGGCTTAATTTGCAGGCCTGATTGCTGAAGCACCACACTTTGAGGAAACTTCCTTGTAGAAGGGAAATTCATTAACTGCAGGGAATATATTTTCCTGTTGGTGCCTAGTTTCACCCTGAGTCAGTAACAAAGAGGCCACACTGTGGCTATTCACTGTCTCCTTGATTGACTGTTTCTTTTTTAGTGTTTGCAATGATATACATGAGTATCATTTAAAATCCTCTGCAATATTTTTATTGAATTATCATCCAGCATTACTACGGTTGCAATTATCACTATATTTAAAGCATATCTAACAGTCATCAGGACAGAATGCAGATGAAGCAAAGGAAACAAAGACCTGGAGAGGAGACAGCTAAATATATGAGCAAAACCAGGTGGTTACAATTGGGGAGATTATCTGTTGTTGCTTCAGTCAATGGCTGTGCAAAAAGGTGTTGATTGTGATGTTTCATCCTGCATTCAGGCAAATGGGTGTTCCTTGATTCCTACTGAAAGAACAATGCAAAAATCAACATTTATTAAGAAAGCATTAACTTTCCAGATTGAGACTCCAGTTCTTGATGGTGTTTCTGAAACAGTGGGGAAATCGCAAAAGCCTTCTTCCTTGCACTGAACAAATAGCATGAGTGGGAGTTGAGCTTTCTATGTAAACATGATTGACAAAAGCATGTATGTGTGATTCTTCCCAATCACTCTCAATGGTTTTTGGAAGACTAAGCAAAAAGAGAATGATAATGACAATTGTGTGAGTTGGTCTTCCATGCAGAGATCCAGTCTATACACAGATCAACATGTGTGAGAGAAAGGGTGCATACTGCTTATTATTATTATTATTATTTGCATTAAAGTGTTAGGTGTGCAATTTTGTTACAAAAGAAGGTTGTTGTTTTTACTTATACAGTATACCACCTAATATTGCTAGAGCAATCTTTGGGTGCTTTACAACATAATCATGCAAGAAACACTTGGCCACCCCCAAGAGTTGGGTACACATTTTCCTGTCCTTGGAAGGATGGAAGGCTATGTCAACCTTGATTCAGCTACCTGAACCCAGCTGGATCAAATTCAGGTCATAAACAGAAGCCTGACTGAAGAGGCTTGACTTAACTGCACCATTAGGACTCTTATGTAACACATTAGTCCTATTCAGGCATTATTTACTGGATTAACAAAATAGTTGGGGAATTTCTGGCCTCATCTCCCTCTAGTGTCGACTTCCTCATGTGATCAGCCCCTACCTGAAGAAATCCTTTTATAGCCATAGAGGTTCTTCACAAAGTTGCTTTTCACATAAGGTGAACGTTGTGGAGAGTGGAGAGGGTGGGCTAGACTAGAGCGCCTACTTTCTTCACAGGTCCTGTCCCTCTACTTCATAACACCTGACCAGGGCCGTTGTTTCACTACTGTCCTTTAGTGAATGACTAAAACATATACTATGAATTCTATGAGTCAGAGTGCTCCTGGTTCTGCCAATCAAAGGGCATCACACAACTATTCCATTGTTCCCTTATTGTTACTAAAAGGAGGAACTGGTAGCAAAACATGGGAAGGTCAGCAGCAGAGGACATGGTTACTTCCCCACACTCAGTAGAGTTCCATCATTGAGGCAGGATGGTTGCACATCTGGAAACACTTATCAATAAAAATGTCATATGGAAGCACTTGTAATCTCATAGTTCCAAATACAATCTCATATAATGGAAGACTGACACCACACTTGAATGGAACCTTATCAGTTTGCTGCTATGGGGACCCGCCATGGATATTGGTGTCTGTGTGAGGCTCCCATTCAACATTTCTGCTCAGCTCCAGTTCACACCAAAGAATTGCCATTTTTTTGTTTGTCAAAATGCAATAGTTGATGTCGCTGTCAAACTCTGCATTTTGAGGCCACTTCTCACTTGCACCTGGCACCAGCTGGGTTTCAATGGGTGTTTGCTTTTGCTTTCAAGTGCTGCCATCTAGTGCTAAGTAAGCACACCCTGTTGAAGGGGTAAGTGGCAGCCGTGCCATTGGTGTGGGTGGGTGATGGTAAGTAGCATTGACAGCAGTGTGATGGCAGCAGTCAACCCCTGTCTGTTCTTCCTGGCTGCATGCGCCCTGGCAGGGACCTGGGGATGCCAGGCATTAGTGCTAGACCTGAGTTAACATCAATAGTGCACTAAAAAGGGGGGAGGGGAATTAATCTTTACCATCTCTCTTTGCTTAAATCATGAAAGCTTATAGTTCCAACTTATCAGGTAATTAGGTTCTTCTTATAACACATATTTATCATGAGTATTATCAATTTATAATACCGTACTCCATTAATTAGTATAATTCCCTTTTAAGCTATCCAGGCTAATTATTTATTTATTTTACTTATATGCTGCCCACACTATTCAAAGGTCTCTGGGCGGCTTACAACAATTAAAATACAGTAAAAAGATAAAACAATTAAAATACAATTAAAATATATACTCTAAATTTATATCACTATATATTGTGGGAGTCATTTCCACAGTTTAGCTATGCATGTGTAATATGGAATGTGTTGATTCCAACAAAGTTAGAATGTACAGAAAGAGAAGCAGAAGCCTATAACATAGTGCTAATATAGTGCTACTATATTAGTAATATAGTGTAATATAGTCCTACTTTTTAATGTGTCTCGAACCTTTTACCATTCAGCTCCACTGGGCATTTTGAAAATGAGAAAAATCCTTGCTCATGCATAATTTTATATGTTTCTATTATACGCTTCATTACTCACTTTTAGCAGGCTCCCTTAAAGGATTGAAATATTTTTTCCCCTAACATTTTCTCACAGCAAAATGACTACATCTAGGTCATTCTGGTGGCCTTTTTCTTTTGGATTGCCAAAACACCAACACTGTTTGATTTACCCTATGTAATTTTGCAGCATGGCATGTTTACTTTCATCAGCTTAGTTGTTATTCTGTCCCATCAAGTCACCTCCGACTTACGGCGACTCTATGGATGAGTGGCTTCCAAAATGCCCTGTCCTTAACAACCCTCATTGAGGAAAAAAAACTTACTTGGGAGCAGAAAGTAGGCCACTGAGGAGACTCTATGGATGAATGACTTCCAAAATGCCCTATCCTTAACAACCCTCACTGAAGAAAAAACTTGGGAGCAGAAAGTAGGCCACTGAGGACTCTCTGTCTCTTTCCCCCATACGCACCCCAATCCATGCCTTGCATTTCAAGAACCATTACCTCTGGCTTCCATTTTGACTTCTTGGTGACATCCTTCCATTTCATCTTCAACAACACAGGCTTCTGCTTCTCCTTCTGTACATTCTAACTTTGTTGGAATCAACACATTCTCAGTTTCGTTAATCCATTCCTTTTAAAACAAAGAAAAATGGGAGATAACATTTTTAAGCAACAGCTCTTTCTTCATGTTCAGCTAATTCAGCCTTCCCCAGTCTTCAGGTGTTGCTGTACCACAACTCTCAACATGCCAGACCATTGAACCTGTTGACTGAGAGTGATGACAGTCACAGTTCAAGAGCACCTGGGAACCAAAACTTGGGGAAGATTAAGCTAGTGGAAAAACAGCTTAAGGTTTATTGGTCAAATTCAAGGTGACTGCAGTGAAACATCTAGAACACAGAACAGTAATCATGCAAGCAGCTTCTCCCCTTTGGAGAAGTGTCCATTGAATGGCCAGACATCAGTTGTGAAATCAGCTGTATGAAGAACTGCATAATAAAGGGGGTAGTTCCACAATTATCCCTTCCATGTGCAGTTTCCCGCAACAAGATTCTGGATATAATCTAAAATACAACTTAAGAGTATTATTTTTAAAAGCCGTGTGTTAACAGAAGTCATTACATTTTAGAGGCAACATGTAAACTCATTATTTTAATAGTAATATGTCATTTATCACTTTTGGGTAACCTTAAGCTATATCTTAAAACTCATTTTAAAAAATGCAAAATCAGCCACAATCAAATCTGAATCACCTCCAACAATATTATTCAAATAATGAGTAAGTAAATAGCTGGCTGGATAGCTCTGTGAGAGACTACACTAATAGTACAGGAATTGCTTGAGGATTAGGATACTTTACTTTTACTTTACTTTATTTAGATTTATACCCCACCCCTCTAGACAAAGTCTACTTGGGGCCGCTTACAAAAAATGATAAAATACAATAGAATAATATAGTAATAATATAATAATACAGTACAAGCAAATTTGGTCAAATTTATATTATTTTCCATCAAAGCCACAACATACAACATTTTAACCCCCAAACCTAATACAAGCAAATTTGGTTAAATTTATATTATTTTCCATCAATGACACAACATACAACATTTTAACCCCCAAACCAATTATCTCCTACGCCCCTGAGACTTCTACTTTTTTTCGGTGAATACATTTGCATCAGTTCCGATGGAGTGATAACTTGTGCCGATGCCGAACCTGCATCGTGAGGGCGGCCACAGTTTAGTTTCACTCCCCAGCTTCCCATAACGTCTATTTTTGACAGTGCTGTTCGAGTGAAACTCAAAAGCCAGCACAGCACCTTTGGGGAGAAAGGAAAAACTCTCTTTTTTAAAAGTTGTCATATAAACCAAAACAAATCAAAAATGAAGGGGAGGGGGGAGAGAGAAAATTGGCAAATATTCCATTATGAAGGTAGCTCTAATGTAGCCATGCCTCCTGCAAATCCTGACAGCTATAGGCGAAGCTATCTTAACAACTTGCAAATAAGGGCTGATTGACAATTTCCTCCTCTCTGATCTACTGACTCCTGTCTGGTTGGTGAAACAAAATTCACCCAGGGAAATCCAACTGCCCAGGTGCAAATTCATAGTGGATCAATCTGCATTTTTTCCCACTGTGTAGTCACGCCCTGAATTAGATATCTGGCTGTAGGACCAAAGATTGGAAGTTTGTTTCTCCACTGTGTATTGCATATGAAAATATAATAAAGCTGGGAGTACAATCATTTTTTTCTAGGAAAATACATCCATGTATCTGCCATCATCTCAAGTCCAGGATATTTGTACTGTTTCAAACCATATTAACTGTGTCATTGAGCATATAAGAAGACATATCTACTTCATAGGAATTAAACTATAAAAAACAGGTTTGAGGGAAAGAAAAAAGTTAGATTTGCAAAGAAAGAAAACTCAAGAAAATTTCTGGTACCTTACCTGGAAGTCCCCATGGTAACCACTGAACAATTCAGAATATATATTTTTAGGATCTGGTATTATGGGCATTAGTGTCTGTCTAAATCTGTAAAAATTATTGCAAAAAAAAAAAAAAAGGATTAGAACCCTTAACAAAACACTCCTGCATTTCAAAAACATACTTTATATCAGGGATGTGTAACATGTGACCTGTCAGATGTCACTGAACTACAGCTCCTTTCAGCCCTGGCCAGATGAGCCAGTGGTGAAGAATGATGGAAACCGTAGTTCAGTGACTTCTGGAGAATGGTAAGCTACCAATTCCTACTGCAGGACACCCTTCAAACTTTTTATAGCCACCCACCCCTTGCTGGTGCCAGTTTCACTGTCTATGTTGCCTGCTCTTTCTGCCCTGTATAGGAAAAACCTCCCTTCGAAATACTTCTTATGCTCCATCATCACAACAGCTGTGCTTATTTTGATGATGATGACACAGATGGCCCCAAGTTGACCCAGCATGCACTTAAAATATTCTTAGGAAAGAAGGGAGAGGAGAGAAAAATGATTCTCAGACATTCCATCTTGTCATAAACAATTCCTTTGAAACACATTTTAAAGCCTTGATATGCCCTTTTTTATGCCTCCATATAAGAATATGTCTGGCATAGTCCTCCTCCTGTATAAAAAAGTGAAGTGGATTAGCCTTCTACTGAGTGTGTGTGAATAATTCTGTTTAGTTTGCATTTTCAAGTGAACTGGATTATTTTGCAGTTCACAGATACCTTTATGTAATGACTAGAAAACAGTTATCCTCCAGAGCACATACATCTCCATATTTTATGAAGTAATTTTCCATTCAAGAATGCAAACAAAATGTATGGTGAAAAATACATATAAAAAGTTGTGTTTAGTTAAAATCTGCAGCAAAAGGCAGATTTTATGCCATTTTTGTGTTTTTTTAAAAAAAACAATCATAGATAAGGGGACATAATGGATTTACAATGGAACACACAGAATACTGACACTGACCAGAAAAGGCATATGCTTCACCTCTAATCGGTTTAGGACCTCGGTACTTGGTGGAACGCCTTCTCCCGCCAAGATCTACTCCTCAGCCAGGAGGTGAGGCTGAGGAGCCTAACACCGAGGGAGGCCCAGAAGGAGAAGACAAGAAATCAGGCCTTCTCGGCGGTGGCTCCTCGCCTCTGGAACAACCTACCTCCTGAGATTCGCGTGGCTCCCTCGCTGGGTATTTTTAAGAATCAATTAAAAACATGGATGTTTAGGCAGGCCTTCCCATCAGATAATTCCTGACGACCTTCCCTCCCCCCCCCTTCAGCTTTCCCATTCTGTTCACTATTTCTGGTATGTAAAACTGTCTTTATACGTATATTTTTTGTATTATCTTTTAATGTTGTTAGCCACCTAGAGTGGTCCTGACACGACCAGATAGGCGGGATATAAAATAAATAAATAAATAATCTCCATCAATGGAATACTACCAGGAAAATTGTGATCTACATACTTAGAGTGGACACACCATTTTCATTAAATTCCTATAATACATATCACTTCCTTCCACAATTTACTGTCAGTTATATTGATGTGCGTTTTACAGAAACTGGCATAGAGCTATTAAAACAAAACAAAAAACAAAGCAGACTTTACCTTTCCAACCAACAAACCCACAGGAGAAGGACAAATATTATCATAAGCGCAACCATCACCAGGGTTAAAACGATATCCATACTTGATTTGGATTTGATATCACAGGAACCTTAGATGAATCACACACACATATGCACAAGTGACCAAAAAATGAGGGAATAGAAATGTTATTAGGCTACTGAAAATCAGATTCCTTAGCTGTCAATTACATTTTAAAGCATATTTTTGTCAATGTTGTCTTTAGAAAATTAAGTATAAAGATATATGGAACAGCTAAATGCAATTATAGATAATACATATAGGCTATGCAAATTTGCAACTGGAGCTATACATAGCTAGAAAGTGGCAGATAGCTTTAGACTGTTATACTTTCAAGCTTCATAGTAACATCACATGTTTTGCTGCTCTCTAAAAGTACCCTTGTACTGGAGTGAAAGACAGCTATTTTCCACACAAAAGTATGAAGTTTTTTTTTTAACTAGAAGATAGAATATACTATATGCCTTTTATAAGTAACCTTCTCAGTTCCAGTGGAAACCACAACTGAATGCCAGAAGTTTGTGATTTTTTTTAAAGGAAGGATGGTGTCTTGACACCAAATCATCCAACAGCTGTCAGATAATGAGTGCACTGAAAGGGGGAAATATCACAAAATGTTGACTGAATATAACAATGACTGAAATACATCTGAGGTAAACTGGGCATATCTCTATCCCTGTAGACTACACCATAGAGATGCCACTGAAGACAAATTACTTGTGTTGAATAAACCTCTCACCACTATAAGAGTTTCGCTTGGAATAGCGAAAGAACTTCCCTCACCTTGATTTGGAATGCAACTTGGCAACCAAGCCTTTCTCTCCCCCCCCCAATCATCCACTTTGGAATTTGTGAACTCCATTATGCTTCCGACTCTGTTAGTAGGAGTGCAGACAAACCCCCAAAGCCTCTCTTTTCCAAGTCATTAACACTTCTCTAGACACTTGCTCCTGTTCTGTTTCCGTTTCTCTGATGTACCTAGCATTGGCAGCAAATAAGCCAATGCAATAGGGCAGTGGCAATAGTTCTCTGGAGTCCTGTATCCAAGATGCCCTACCCTCTTTGGTAACATCAAGACCAGAATAATAGCTTTCTGGGTCCCTTGGAAAACTACATTGCCCAGAATCAGAAAAGCCAGCAGAGAGATCCTCCTATTGCCCTATTGCAGGGGAAGGTTAGCTATTTGGAGGAGGTAAAAATCTGATGGAAGTGGGTGGTGCTTTTCAAGCTACAGGAGTTTTCATCTCTAGTCTGTGGCTGTGATGTTCTGGGTACCCACACCAGTGCTTCATGTGCCTAACTGCCACAGAGAAGGTACAGAGACTTGCAAGATAATACTCCACCTGCTAGAGTGTCTCCAAATGTTACGGAAGGAAAGAAAATCATTGATCAGGGAAAATGAGTCATGGAAGCAGATCAGTTTCAAGTCCATGAAAGCTCACATAAGAACATAGCAGTTATTCTTTAAGGTCCTACAATGGTTTTGTCTTTGTTTATTTTTTAATTTTTGATTTGTCTTTGCCTAACATACTAGCACATATTAACACAGCTACCTCTTCTAAAACAAACCCCAATGTTCTATACGATGGGAGTACACCAGTTATAGCGGTATAAAACTGCTAGAACTGTCTAGTGCAGATACACCATTTGTTGTTGTTGTTTAGTCGTTTAGTTCCCAATGTTCTATACAATGGGAGTACACCAGTTATAGTGGTATAAAACTGCTAGAACCGTCTAGTGCAGATACACCATTTGTGTTGTTTAGTCATTTAGTCGTGTCCGACTCTTCGTGACCCCATGGACCAGAGCATGCCAGGCCCTCCTGTCTTCCACTGCCTCCCGGAGTTGGGTCAAATTCATGTTGGTAGCTTCGATGACACTGTCCAACCATCTCGTCCTCTGTCGTCCCCTTCTCCTCCTGCCCTCACACTTTCCTAACATCAGTGTCTTTTCCAGGGAGTCTTCTCTTCTCATGAGAAGACCAAAGTATTGGAGCCTCAGCTTCACGATCTGTCCTTCCAGTGAGCACTTGGGGTTGATTTCCTTTAGAATGGATAAGTTAGTTCTCTTTGCAGTCCTGGGGACTCTCAAGAGCCTCCTCCAGAAACACAATTCAAAAGCATCAGTTCTTCGGCGGTCAGCTTTCTTTATCGTCCAACTCTCACTTCCGTACATCACTACTGGAAAAACCATAGCTTTGACTATTCGGACTTTTGTTGGCAAGGTGATGTCTCTGCTTTTTAAGATGCTGTC